AAGGGAAACCACTCGTCGTGGGAGCAGATTTTTTATGATTTGGGTTTCCTCCACTATAACATACAAAGGAGGAGAAAGAGCCACACAGTAACATAAAGAATCAAATTTGGATGCATGTGCCTGGCATCACATCACTGTAGGGTGCGGTAGTGAAGTGGGGTCAGAGAAAGGAACCAGTGAGAGCCAAGGGGGACCATGGAGACTAATACTCCCAATAGTGTCAGTCTTCTATTATTGTGTGGCATGGGCAGCAGGAGAGGTAAGCGGCCTCTTTTTTCTAGGTGTGGGCTTTTCTGAATTACTTTTCAACACTTTACAGTCTCTTTAAGGGGGTCAGTCTACCCAAAAGAAATATTTTATTGCAGGAGCCCAATGGGCTGAGTTAGTCCCTGACTTTTTATCTCTCTATATTTTGAAAACGCCGAATGCAACATCTTCCTACCATAGTGCCTGTCAACCTAGGAGTTTTAGGTGTCTACACCCACCTCCTGTTTCATTCCGTGTGATGTTAAATAAATATAAAAAATATAATTGGAAAGTGAGACATTCTTATAATGGCCACACTAGGCATTCAGACCCAAGAACACAGCAAAAGATCGCACCTGAAGATGCCCAACTGATATAAGGTATTGTCAGCTGGTTTAAAGAATACTTTAATTTGTAAACAATGTCCATAAATACTGAAATATCCAATTTGCCTTAATATATTTGCATATAGGACCTACTAGAGCCAGTCTCAGGCCTACATAAGATAAGATATGACAGAATACATAGAACTGCTGATGCTACAACATGTGAAAGTATGCCACATAAAGTCCCATGTTTTAGGAGCACCCACTTTTCACAATGCCCACCAATCACTGTGGCACAATGGCACCCCTTGTTTTTTTTTATTTATCCCGCAGAAGTCCCTCCCTATCAAAAAAGGGTTAGTTGGTTTTGTTTGCCTCCACGCCAAAGATTCCCAGGTATCCCCTGGCTACTAAGCATCCATCTAACAAGTTCTCCTCAAAGCTGGAGTTTAGCTAAAAAAAGTCAAAGCAGCTTTAGTCACATCACGTACCTGTAATGAAGGATGTCCCATGTTTTGCAGGCTGCTGAATCCTGGATAAATCTTCACTGCAAGAATGTCCCATCCTCTTCCTGACTCTGAATTTCCATTGCTGCTATGGTAATAACTTCAGGTTTTCATTCAGAATAGCAGCACAGATGGTCCAATGGGGACACAGCCGCTCCTTTCTCCACCTCCATTGAGAAAAGTTCTTTCACTGACATGATCTGTGAATGAAGGAGATAATTCTGTGATTGATCAGACTCTCCTCCATTCACTGATCTTGTTACAGGCAGTGTAATTAATGAAAAAACTTTTTTCAGTGGAGAAGGAGGAAGTGCCTCCATCAGACCATCTGTACTGCTGTTCTGCCTGAAGACCCAAAGATGTTAACTACTACAGAAGTACAGAGACAGGAAGAGGATGGGGCATCTGTGCAGTTAAATTTTTTCAAGGATCCTGCTGCCTAAACAATGTGGGACATTCTTCATTACATGTAAGTGATAAAACTAAAACTGTAGCTATTTTTTTTTGGCTAAACTTCAGCTTTAACAGTACATTAGCAATGAGCATGAATATCCTTAAAATGCCATGCATTTTACCTGCGACAGTAATCAATGGAACTGGATTACTAGTGACACACGTGAATAGATCTCTGTTAAATTTGGAACATACCACATGCAAGCTCCAGCATAAATCCAAGACATTTATGAGCATATGGAAACAATTCATTGCTGTTATTACTATGTCTTGTAAGCACCTCATCAAGTTGTGCATGAGATACACTATAATACTAATGTGGAATTAGTTATATCCAGTTATATTGTAGGGATTTATCCAAAAACATGCAACAATTCAGAATGTCCAGTGAATCACAGCAAACCATTGGAGATCAGCTGCCACTCTGTTGCATATATATACACTAAAGATGATTATCAATTGGATGCTGTGGCAACATAAAGTTTTGAGGCTTGAAACTTCCTAAGGTTCTTTTCATTTTTTGAATTTCTGTTATCTCCATCAGAAACATTGTTAAATCATCAAAACATTCTTTACAAAGTCATACTGCTATAAAGGCATTTCCACTGCAAAATTGTCTGTTCTCAAAAGAATGATATATTAAAGCTCAATACCAGCCCAAAGTTTTTTTTTTTGTTTTGGATAGAATGGAGAAGGGTTAGAACCACAGCTACATTTTTACTGCTGGCTATGTCCCTGTTATGGAGATTTTTTATGTTCCAGGCGCATGAGAGTGCCATTGTCCCCAGTGTGTCTCCAAGTGAGGACACAGACATCAATTACATCTATCAAGCCAGCTGTAGGAATGACCCCACAATCTTTGAAAGTTATCTCTTCAAAGTTCTACATTTCAAGTATTTCCATCTCCTGGAAGTTTGAATTACTGATGAAGGGCCTCCATGAACCCCCCAAACTCGTCAATAAGTCAATAAACAGACTTTCTCGCTTTTTTTAAGAGCATAAAATCTTGGTTGAGATTTTAATCTTTCCCAAACGGGGAAAGGTTAAAAACAGATTTTGTCTGAAGTTGACATTTAGGACTGCCACATTTTTCCAACCTGAATATTACACGCATTAGTCTTTGTGTTTAATCAGAAAAAAGACCTGATTCCCTATAGCAAAAATCAAGGGAAACCCGGGGTTATTGATTAACAGACAACAAAATTTAAGCATGTGTAAAGATAAGACTTTTTTTTAGCTTTAGATAGAATATGGAAGGGTTAGACTTTATAAAGTTTTTAATGCCATCTTTGTCCTAGCTGGAGAGATTCACTCCTCTACTTGTCATTCTGGCTTTTGCAACCATGACATAAGAGGAGGGAAATTCACAATTTTAGGCGTTATCACCAGGTGAGGGTAAATCATACAAAGGTGACACCTGTTCTGGTGACAACTGTCTTACAGGGTAATACCCTCCACTTTGGAGAGATTGCTTCTCATTTCTTGATGACAGGGCAGAAGTGTTCTCCAACACAAAAAAGTGAATCTCCCTAACAGGACACAGACAGCTACAAAAGGAGTGACATGGGTTTTTATGCTTCCCTACTCTTTGTAACACAAAAAAGTGTTTTACTTTTCATACACTTTAAAGATTAGTTCCAAGAAACATGGAAACGGGATGTTTAATTGGGGCCTCTCTATCAAGCAACATAGCATGGCCACCATATTTTAAAGCTCCTATGTAATCAATAGTGGGGGCATGTAATCAATAGTGGGGGCACAACCAGGGGCGGACTGACAACTCATGGGGCCCCTGGGCAATAGGGGATCATGGGGCCCCTGTGTCCTTGTCCAAACTCAAAAAAGCCTATGAAAAAGGTACCAGGGGCATCTCATGGGCCCCCTACTGACCCCGGGCCCTCGGGCAGTGCCCGAGTTTCCAAATGGTCAGTCCGCCCCTGGGCACAACTACATAACTACTTCTTACATTACTCGTATAATGACTGTCTGATCACAGAGCACCACTGTACAGCAATGCTGCAATGCCAGATTTTAGTAACAGGCGAAATCTGTCATTTAGAGTCTTTTCCCAGGAAAGCTGAGGGGTAGACCCCCTTCTGGTCGCTATATGATAAGGTGACCAGACATCTATGGTTTCCAGAGATAGTCCCCAATTTCAGAGGGCTGTTCAATCGTGGGGAAAAAAAACTCAAATTTCGCCCCTAATTAAAACAGTGTGTCCCTGATTTCTTTCCAGTGGTATCAATGGCATCCCTAGTCCAGGGGGCTTCAGTGAAATCCATCTTAGCAACATTTCTGTGACTGACCTGGAGCTGGAGGGAAGGGAGGGGTATGTCTGTTCTTGGCTGTATCTAGGGATATTGACGATGTCACATGCCAATATTACATGGTGTGGGAGGTAAGGATATAGATTATTTGCCGCCTTGCTCTTGCTTGTGAAGATGAAGTGCAGTACACATCTTAATCCTGAGCAAAGCAGGCTCAGGTGTTATTAAATCATAGCCCTTTAAGCCCCTGCCACTCTTTGTCCATGCCCAATATATTGTGTGGTGCACTCTGCATGCTGCTATTGACCCCTCCCCCTGCTCTGCCTCTGTCTCACCCAATAAAAGGGTATGGTCAATAGGGTGTCCCCAAATTTCATTTTGAAAATCAGGTCTCCTTACTATATATAAATGGTCCCAAACAAACATGGAATGTCCTGTTGTCCCGTAAACCCTGTTTAACCCTCTACAGCCAATAATTGTGTGCCTTAAAGTGAATCTGTGAGGTTCGAAATATGTAAGTTGCTATAGCTGACTTATTTTTAAAGGGGCAGGCTATACCATCCTTAACCTGGCTCCAATACCTAGTGAGCCACTGACTCCATCTCAGCATACAGAACATAAAATCTGAAAAGTCTGAGTCCAGGTTAGTGACTATGTAATGATGCAAGGTTAAGGGATGACAACCCTGGATCTCATATATTTCAAAACAGGTCAGAATAACAGTCTGCATTTTTCTGTAATCTTTGGTTCCCTTTAAAATAATAATAATATGGTTGTTTGAACTATGGCACATTTAACATCGTCACATGATTCCCATCAGTTGAGACCAAAAAAAATACCAGCGTTCCAACGTGAAAAAGTCTAGTCATACAATGGTCCTGTCTGCTAGTGTATGTGGCCATTACTGTTTCTGTTGTGTCTCTCATGACCTTGAAAATCTGGTTATGTGTGCTTTGACCATGCTGGTGTTTAGCCTCTCTTGACCTTTGTAAACAAGCCCTAATGTATAAATGGCTGTGTGCTCATTTTATCATCATGGGTGGAGTACCATTTGTGAAGTGTCCACACACAGAAGCTGTGAAATCTCAGATGTGTTTTCAGAAGCACTCGCACACTTCTGTTCTCCGTTATTAATGGATCCCACAGCAGCAAAATAGTATATCTGTGTATTGGTCATTTACGTTGTCCTTGCGCTGGAATCGCTAAGATTCAATGACGTAGAAGCCAAGTTTTGCCACTGACATCTCACGGCGAAGTCTCATGATCTCCCAGAATATAAGCTCAGCTGTGGGGTAACAGAGAAAATAGGTTATCTGTAGAAGATATGCTCTGTTATTTTACTGCAGTACACATGGAGGGGGCTACTTATAAAAATATTTCTTGCATGAATACTTCTAAACAACAAAATGTTTCCCTAATTTTTCTACGAGATTAATGCCTACAATGTCAGCTTCATCTAGTGGCCAAGGTGCAGTATAGCTTTCAGAAATACCTCAATGCGAAAACTTTACCAGATATTGGCCACTAGATGATGATGATGGAATTAAAGGATATGTTCACCTTCTGAACATGTTACATATTACACCCATATTTAGGGTGTAACATGTAACATGTTCAGCATCAGTCCCCTCCCCCCTTCCTTGTGGCAGCGAGCTGTGGGCCTTCTCCTCGTACTTGCAGCCACAATTCAAAGAGATCCCTGTAAATCAATGAACTACAAGTACCAACAGCCTTTGCAGCTGTCAGCTTGTAGTTCTCAATTAACTACCATGGCACTATTGAGCACTGTGGTAGTTCATTGATTCTTCCTGTCAGTGTAAAACTGCCTACAATGTACGGGCAGACAGATTACACTGGCAGTCTGCAGGAGATTGCTGGTGATCGCTGGTGCAGTGCTTTCTAGGCTCCTAAAACACAAAATAGCAAATGCACATTTTTTTACCTAGAAAAAGATAAGTATTTATAATGTATGTCTATAAATAGAACCTAAAAATGAAACTTCACTATATATTTTGTTGTATAAAAAGATTATTTTAGATTGTAAGATCTAACAAGCAGGACCCTCTGATATCTCCGGTACTGAATCGTATTGGAACTGTACTGTTTTGGTGTGCACACGGTTGGCTCTATATAAATCCTGTAAAATAATAATAATTTTAGTACACAAGAAAAGTAGAATTATAGCAGAGCAGACTATGCGACTGCTAAAGGGCCCCGAAACACTCTGGCCTTTCTTCAGGTGACCGGGAGTTACAGTTCTATTCTGTGCATCAGATTGCTGTAAGTGTAATATAGTGTTCTTTATAGTTTTAAAATTTTGGCCAGTTCCTGCTGAATAGTCCACAATTTGAGCCCTAGGTGGCCTTGCAATTTCAAGACAAAAGTAATTTTAAAAATCAACTGAGCTAGGTAATCAAATTGCCTATTAGATGCAGTCACTGTTTGGGTATTCAGGCAGTCGCAAGCGTCGTGACTACCTAAATAAAGCAGCCAGCAAGGGACAATCCTCCATCTACGCTGTTTACAGTGAATGGGGGATCAATTGATCTTTCTCTCGTTCAGCCTGTAGGCTAGCTTACCAGGCAACCACCATCTTCAAAAGCGGTTGTCCATAATTTATGCCTCTGCATTTTCTTCAAATGATAAGCACACTATAAATACACCTTAGTTCCTTTAATAAACCTAGGAAAATAAAGCAAGTTTGCAAACATAACTTTTTTCTGTCAGTTTAGATTTCCTCCTGATTTTATCAGCAGAGTCACACAACTCCTGACATCCCTTTATATCAGTGGTGGTCAAGTTAATTAATGTAGAAGATCTCAGGTCCAGTCCCTGACATCACCAAACTGTTGCCCATAAAATTAATTGAGTGTAATGCAGCATGCATATATGCAACCGAAGAGACTACAGGCATAGTCACTGTTGGTAACTGAGAACATACTTTAGGAGACAGTCACAGACTGGAGACACATTACAAGAGACTGCTAGAGGCCACTGCGATTACAGTCCCTTTACAAATCAATGTCCCTACATTTCTGCGTTCTATGGCTTGTGCCACATTTGATATTTCTGTCAGCAAGATCCATTATAAAAGATCAGAAGAGAAAAAATAAAAATAGATGGGCAGAACAGAATAAAATAAGATAGTGTGAAAGAAATAAACCATCTACAATTGTGAGTAATAGGACAGTCTAAAGATAAATGTTCTTCACTGGCTTGAGTCAGTACCAAATCACAAACTACTGTTGGCAGAGGACTGGCCCTTGGGACTACACAATAAATGCCAAAGGGCAGCATGCAACCCCTGGGCACCAGGGCCTTATATATGTTCATGCTCACAGACTCCAATATCCTGCACTGACAAGCCACACAGGACATCAGGAATTCCTTGTCACAACATGGAAATACAGGCCTTCTGTCCCTACTTCAAAGGGAGTCTTTGTGTTTAATAGTATAGAAGTCAATCAATTATACTTTAAGAATGTAAGATCCTTTGAAACATTGAGAGGGTTTCACAAAAGCAGACTTGATACGAGGATACTTACTGTCCTGGCGCACCAGCCCTTGCTGTATATAACGAATGTAAGTGAAGAAATTGCATACAGCTGTTATCTGAGAAAAGAGAGGAAAGTCAAGTAGGGACTGAAACAAGAAAAGTATGGTATATATTAAAAAAAAGTCTGCATTACTTAGGGCAGCCTATCTGATCTTTATATTCAATGTATTATACGACTGAATAAAAGAATCTCAAAGTTTCCTTCCTAGACTAACACAGTTATTTTATTACTAGACACTTAAAAGATGGGCACATAGAGCTGGAAAAGTTTAAGAAATCTGTTGGACTTTGATTGTTACAAAGAATGGCACTAGAGCCTCTATTACTGGTATAACTGGTGTTGTCAAAGGCCATCTTGTTCATCATGCCTAACTTGCTTTGATTAGGCTTTTTGTAAATACCAGAAAACAATCACAAAAGGAAGATGGGGGGGGGGGGGGTCTACAGACACATCCAACTATACAGGATACAGGTGTGCCATATCAAAGGTTTGAGAGTCCAAAGCAATGATATATCAAATGATCAGTAGAAAGAAAGCCAACATGTTTCGGGGCTTCGGACACTCACCCTTCATCAAGCCCTGCATACTGTATACCCTCTAAATGTGGCTGGTCTTGATTGAAAAAGCAATAATAGCTATATGTTATATTACAAATTTGTGAGACTGGCAGTCTGTGAATTGGGGAGTCCAGCCACATTCAGCCCCGTTCACACCTGAGCATTTTTCAACTTGCTTCCATATACCTGACTACGCCTGACTATGCTCAACATGCAAAATCCCATTCTTTGTAATTATCCCTGTCCACACTTAAGCAATCTATGTTCTATGTCCCATACTCAAAAAAAGTACATGAGGGTTTTATTTTTTTTAGCATATTCAAGCGTTTGAGGCACCATAGAGTGCAATAGCTACATCTATTACATGCCTTTTGCACCTCAAGATCTTCTCACCTCCCTCAGAACTGCAATTCCTCCCTTGCCTCACCCAGGAAACAAATGCCTTATTACATGTAGAAAATTATGAACCAGCAAACACAAATGCTCCTGCGCTTAGGGATGGACTCGATGCAGGCTACAACAACATTAAGGATGTCCTGGAACATGCACACCTTGCTGCCCTCAACAGACCGGGGGAATCCAAATATACTGAATGAGGAAAGAACAAAAGAGAGGGCGCACAGGCCTAGTGAATTACCATAAAAAATGTTTAATAAGAAATAAAATAGGTGTTGTACTCACAAACGACAATAAAGTCAAGGCACATCATAAAAGAACAGCTGGGTCAACACCACGCTGAGTAACAGTCCGTAATGGGGAGTGTAGACATCCAATAGCTGACGCGTTTCGAGGACTTGCCTCTCTTCCTCAGAGCCAAAATTGTATAAAATTACCGGAACAAAGATTGAAAAATGGCCATAAAACATCTGATAAAATGCTTCAAAGTCACCAGGAAGACACTTTGTTCAGGAGTGAATGCAGGCTTAGAAATTATACAGTGCACAAGCCCTGACGATAGGAGGATGTCTGAACCCCTGAAACATGATGGCTTTCTTTCCAATGATCATTTAATAAAATATTGCTTTGGACTCTCAGACCTTTCGGAAGGCACTTCTTTTGTTTTCTGTATAGTTTGTTTTTTATTGATGCCTATATCCCATTGAAGAGATTCCAATTTACTTCCTCTCAGAGACTTGACAGAAGAGTTAGTGGAACTCTCCACAAAGTAAGAAAACATCCCACCTTTGCCATTTACCACTGGAAAAGTTATCCCTATTGGCAGCTTTCTCCCTGCCCCCCCTCCACCATGCTAATGACATCTGTACCACAGTGTCCTGTTGACAATGGCTCTACTTTAAAGTTCTTGTCCTATAGGTGAATTGACATAAAATGATGTGAAGCCAGATAAGATCAACACATACTACTCATTAGTAATACTTACCCTGGCTCTACAGGAGGGTGAGATGAAGTAATAATTCCCAGAATCCCCCAGCTTAATCCGATGGCGACATGAACGTGAAAGGCCACTGAGGGCACATTTCCTGAAAAAAAAAAGTACATAATAATATTATCAACTAACAATTCATGATGCTCCTTTCGTTCAGTGCTGAAATATGTATGGTTACTATAAGGAACACAATTCTCTTTTAAATTATTTTAAACATGAATGTTTTTTAGTGAGAATGTTTGAGAACTTCCATCCAGTGCACTTGCATACCAACTTTGTTACCTAAGGTAAAAAAGACACTTGTCCAATGAGTTCAGCCTTACAGAAAAAAAAAAACTTACTTAAATATTAACCCTAGCTGAGTTAAAGGAATTTAGAAAAATTGAAAACCTTGGTCCTATTTTTGTTAAAAGTGATTAAATAATTTTCAATAAAAAATTTAAATGTTTACATATTTGTTGAATTTATTTATTAATCTCAATGCTACCAATATGAATACAATAGCGGATTTTCAAACAAACATTCTTATGGAAATTCTCATCAGTACCGTACATTCAATGATATGACGAAAAAGTACTTAAAAAATGCTTGCTTTTTGGAATAAATTAACTTTCCTGTACAAAAACCACACACACTACTTCTAATTTACTTGTCACTGTGATCGAAAATGAATGTCGGCTTGACCCCACTAATGATTATTAAATCAAATAAATGTTCTTAAAATGGGTGCAGGGAGAGCCATCCTTGCCAGGAGAACACAGTGATTGTTGCTAGTGGCTATAGCTGCTGGGAATAATCGCATGTAAAATCCAACAATTGTACAACAATCGAAATGGGTACAATCAGCCTGCCCATAGATGGTTTGAATCTTGGCTGGTCCCTGCTGAACTGGCTGAACCATCTATGGCCGGCTTTAATCTTGCAATGTACCTGTGAACTCACTATAATGAGCATATGTCATAACTGGATTATATGTACAGTATGTTTGTATTGGTGGACAACCACCCTCTGTAACTATTTTACATTTACAACTAAAAAAAAAAAAGATCTTGTTAAAAAAAATGTAACACCATCTTTTATTAATCTGCTATACAGAGATGTCATTTAAAACACAGCACAAAGGAAAATCAGAGCATGCATAGTAAACAAAAAAGAGAAACAGGAAAACGACAGCTAGAATTTAGTTGATTGCTATGGGCAGTGGCAAAATCTCTTCTTTACGACACGACAGCTATCTTCATTGTAAGACTTCTACAGAATTCTTAGACACTGTTCATATTTTAATGCATTTTAACACAGGCATTGGAGCATGCTAAAGCACACTGCAGTGAGGTTTTGAAAATAGGTATTTTATGTCTACTTTTATGCGTTTTGAGGATCATAGATGTTAATAGCAACAGATATAAAAGCATGTAAGATATGTTTTGCATGCATTTTCATCCCCCTGGTATCAAGCATAAATAGTTCTTTCCAGGCAAACATGAAAACAGGAATGACAACACAACACATGAAAACACATTAAAAACACGCATCAATGCATTTGCAAAATTCGCCTTAATAGGTATCAAAAGACATGTTAGAAAAAGCATAAAAACGAAAATATAAAGCTGTGCACCCAGCCTTAATGTAATAAAACTGCTACAGTATATAAAACATTAAAACATATTAAACATTGGGGGTTATTTAACAAACCTGAAGAGTATGAATAAAAGTTTTACACACACAACCCAACTGGACACTTGCAGGTTTTTACAGCTATGCATAGTTATGAACATAAAATAAAAATCTATGGTGGATCTGGACAAGTGTGCATTTGATCCTTGAGTGGACAACCCTAGCCCCAACCTTATCTGAAGTGAAGAATAACAATTGCTCAGGAAATTACATTTAAGATCATGTAATATTCCAACAAGAAAGGTCAGCCAGGAGATGCCTGTAGAAGTCAATGACCAATGTCATCACTGTATGTTGCCTTAGTGCCGGTTCACATATATGCGGATTGGATGCAGTTTGAACCACATGTGAAATAACATTGCTTCCTATAGTACCTGTTCACATATGTCTGGTGCACTGGCAGTGCAGATTCAGTGCGGACTGAAAGAGAGTCGTGTCTGATTTCTGAGCAGTGCGGTCCAATTCAGCTGCTGATTACAAGCCATTGACTTCTATGGGAACCGTTTCTAAACCGCACATCATCATTTATCAGTTGTGAACAGGAAAAAATCTTGACCTGAACCTTATCTAAACCTGTCCTTAACCTGATCTAAATCTGACCTGAACTGCTGTACAACTACTGTATCAATTAGCTGTAAGCCTGAGCTTCAACCCGCACCGCACATGTGTGAATCAGCACTTACCTGATTGCTCTGACCTGACTACCCAGTGTAGGAAATAACCACTTTTTGTTATAGATTTTTTATAAATGAGGCCCCTATAAATGGCCTTCTTGTGCTGTGTTTTTCAGAACAGAAACATTTCACAGTCAAATATAAAACCGCAGTTAGTCATCAACATTGATTAGTACACTTTATATGACAGTGTCAGAGATGTTGAGCTTTTAATATTTTGTCTGTCAAAGTGTCAACGTACAGTATGGTATTGCTAGTACTCCCTCTGTAGTTTCTAGGCCTTCAAAATACGCTCTTCCAAAGAACCTCAAATCTGATTTCTTTCCTTACTTGGATCCTAAAACTGTACTGTGGGTCCCAGTTGACCATGCCAACTCACTAGCCACACACATCAGTGTTATAGTCTCAGTATAGCAGTATAGTTATTCAGTTCAAGCAAAGAAGATGCAGATTAGTTGAGTGTTTACTGGATTAGAGATCATGTCAAAAGCCATTCTCTGATTAATACAGCTCATCAGTGGATTAATATTTGCTTACACATCACACTTACGTTAAGACCTCCACCCGACACCGCTGAAAAGAATAAAGTAAAAGAAGGTAGTCAGCGTTAACTTATTTAACTGAAATGTACCCGACACCAGATCTTCATTTTTGGAAATATATTTTACATTTGAAAGATTTTAGCCAAGGACAGTTACCTGGGCCCTCCACGTTCTACAGCTGATGCTTTCACGACGGGAAGTGCAGGCTGAATGACTGGTTCCACGGACAATGTATTGTCTTCTACTGCTGCAAGAACTTGTTCTGCCAACTGTAGGAATATCAGATGCATGGAGTTATCACATGGCTCAGCAGGGCAATGGCACATATGAAATATATCATGAATCATGCACTGAAATGGGTGGGGCACATAAAAAGTATTTGTGATGTCATGTGCTCAAAATGAGGTTTAAAAATGAAAGTCACCAGACTTTTTGAGTATACCTTGAATCCTGGGTGCACACTCTATAGGATCTTGGTCTGCCAGACTTGGATCTGAGCTCTAACCTCTGCCAGACACAAGCCCCACCCCCCACTCATTTAAATATGAATGAGATGAGCCTTGCTTGATATGCTTGATTTGTGCAACTACATCCTATGCTTGTGAGTTGTTTACTTACTAAAAGAAACAATTGAGTACTGCCCGTGATACTTTTTTTATTTGCACTAACATACAATTTTGAGGACAAGCTTTCGGGGAGTGTCTGTTTTTAACCTCCAATACTATACTTAGATGGCGCTACTGTTCTTCCTTTGACTTATCAGGAATATGAAATGTTGAGTTAACATATTCTTTAAGAAGTTCTGATTCACAGTGACTTCACATATTACATATTTGTATTGACTTTTTGGCTCGGAAAGCATTGAAGCAAGAGACAGCTGGACTTTTAGCATTTTCAGAAGGACATCAGAAATGGCAGCTAATATATTTCTCCAGTGCTTGGTTCCATTAATATTCAATGTTAACCATGTATTAAGTAGATGCTGTTCTCCCAAACATTCCATAATGTCACCTTTTAATGCCATGATGCTTCTATAAAATATTTGATTTGCATGGCAATGTTCCATTAACAAATCATGTACTTGGGTTAAGGCTTCTTGAATCATAAACAATGACCCTGACTGTTCAAGCTGCAGTAGCATTTAAAATATGCTATGTAGCACGTAATGCATGCTAAAGTGGTCCCTCCAATATCATTTCAAGTCATTATAGTATGCCTGATGTTCTCTTTAGTACATGCAGCCTGATGAATGGGACCTATTGTCAGCTGGGTCAAGTATAATATGAGCCTCATTGAAATGCCCATTGCAACTGTTTAGCTTAGCCACATCATATTTTACAAGACCATTCAAATATACAATTTTTATTTTTAAAACCATAAACCAGGCTTAACTTTGTTTTTGGGTCAGAATTTAGATTCTACTCACCTCCCTTTTTGCAAAGTCCAAGCAAGGCGTAATATCCTCTTGGTAGATACGTGACAGGAAGAGGCTGGATTTATCTAGAGTTGGGTTCTCCTTCCATCCAAGAAATTCTGAGTAGAGGAGGGTGTCCACCTGTGGAAGCAGTACAGTACAGGTCAGATCTCATCAAGGAAATTGGTATACAATCTGTAAAAAATGCACTTGGGTAACAAACCCAATTGATGTACTACTATATTGGACAAAACTACAGCCTTAAGGGGTTTAAATACAGGCAACTATGGGAGTTTAAAACTAATCCATCAGTGCAGGACACAAACAAACTTTACAACAATATCAACTGGTGAACCTCAAATTTTTAGATTCTCCTGTATATTTTCATGATTTTCAGATTTGTCCAGTCCACAAAAAATCATACACTTTATGATTTGCAAGTACTGCATCTGCATTCCTTAACTGCATGATTCTTATCAGTTCAGACAACTATACATGCATATATTCAGGAAAATCAAAAAAGTGTTGAATCAGGAATTCCCATAAATCAAACATCTCTACAAATGACTCCCCAGATATTGAACAGGCAGGATAGAAGAATGGCTCCAGTCATATTCTGTTGAGGCAGGGTAAGATCATTTGATGACTTTGTGTAGGGTGTGTGGTCCTACAGCTGGTTTAATTGTTCCCTGCACAATCCAGAACTTTGAGCTGAGACCAAAAGCCTAGATTCTACAGAGATTACTTATTGGATTAATCTTGTGAAGATGGGATAATCTGTTCCTTACTTGCAGTGGAAGGCACAATTTTCACCATATCAAGTAACTGTCATTAACGTGTATTTAGAGCCAATACTTTTTTTTCAGTTTTGAAATGAAAATGGAAGTGTTAAAACTCCAGTCAGGTTTTTTTTTCCTGTGGGTATCCCCAATAAGCAGATTTACTCTCTTTGCTTGTCATCATGAGAAGTCATCAAACCAAATTGTGAATGAAAATCAAAAGTTCCTATGAACACATTTTACTGAGAAAAAAAAGGGGTTTTATCAGTAGATTTAGAGATTTTTCATCTCATTTTCCTGTTTTTCTGCAAGAAGGCAAATCTTTCCAATAAGATACAGCCAGCAAAAAAAAGTTTTTTTTTTTACCATTCCTTACTTTATCCCAAAAAAGTTTTGGTTTCAGAAACAGTATATTTCAGGTTTTGGCACCTGCAGACCAGAACAGATAGCTCCAGTTGATAATTCAATCAAGTGGTCTCTGGACTTTTAGGGGTTATCATTCAACTAAAAAAATGTAGTTGCTGAAGGTGAATGCTCAGGGCATCTACACTGGGCAATACAAATAATAATCCACACATCCCTTTTAAGCCTGTTTGGCAGTCAAATTGTACACACATGATGCAACTGCCATCTTAAATCTTAGGCCAGTCCTAGGGACAGTACCTGGCGCGAGGAAGTAGAAGAGGAAGACTCATCAGAGACAGGCCATCCGGGCTCGTAGGTTATATGGACAACCTTCCCCGGTACAATACAGAGAAGCAATGAAAGAAGAGATGGAACTGCAGAAAACTAAGAAAAAAGAGACAGAGAAAGGAGAAGACAGGAGAGGGGTGAGAGACACAACATCACAGAAAGAGATCTACAAAACAAAAGAAACAAACACAGAAAGAGAAAAAATGGGAAAAGTGACTGAGAAAGGAAAGACACATAGAACTGCTAGCATATAGAAAATTCTAAGAAGTATGGATGAAGAGGGAAAGGAAGGAATAGGAGAAAAGAATATACTGTAAACACCTATACCAATGTGAACATGGAATTATTTTAAAATTTGGCAGACTGCCTAGATAGATTATAAGCTAAAACCACAAATGTTAAAGTAAATGTTTATATGGAAGCTGCAATTGCTGCCTTCTCTTCTGAAAATGCCAGTTATCTAGCTGTCCTGCTGACCCTTTAGTTGTAAAACCTTATGAGTCAATGATACTGAGAGAGTAAAGCAGGCCATAGACGTGGGGAAAATCAGCCTTTTTTTTTTTTTTTTTTTTTTTTAAACTCGTAAATCGGTCGTTCAGACGGCCGATGTTGCCACTAATTAAATAAAAAAAAAAAGTCGGCGGGTTTTAGTTTTAGTCCTGTCAATTAATTCAATAGCAATGTCCCTGCATAGAGACCCTCTATTATATTTGACAGAAGAAATAGATTATGCAGAAGAAGAAGAAGAAGAGAAACAACATTGTATCTATTTGTACTTGAATAGAAACATCTGTATCCGAAATGCATACAAATAGATACAATGTTGCAACTTTTTTTCTTCTCCGTCTTCTTCTGCAAAATCTGTTTCATCTTCTCTCTTTTCTTCTATTCTTCTTCTTGATATTCTATTTCTTCTTCTCCTGCAAAATCTGTTTCTTCTATTTCTTCTTTTTCTTCATAGTCAATTTATTGTCAAATCGGCCAGAAGAACGGCCGATCTGACCATAAATTACCGCGAAAATCGGCCGATCTAACAAATCGTCCCAGGATTTTCCACCTTGGACGATATTCAAAATCTCTTAAAATTAAGAAAAACGGCCAACATTTTTCCCCACTAACGGTACGAATATCGGCCTATTTTTTTATCGGCCGATAATTCGGCAAGAAAATCGGAAATCTATGGCCGCCTTTAGGAGATCATGAATTCTGGCTTCACTCAGATTTTGTTCTGCTTCCTTGTTCTGGGTCAGTGACTTAGAAAGCACTGAAGCCATTGAATCAGTAGGTCAGCTAGGAAACTTACACTTTTAGGAGATAAGCAACAGTAGCCCCTGTATTACTCTCAGTACAGGTTTTCATTAATTCACAAGTGACATTTCTGAGGTCCAATTGGTTCTACAGATTACAGATGTTTATATACAATATTCATATTATTCAATAAACCCCTGTAACGCTAAACTGGTGACACACCAGCCATAATGCCTAATAAACCCATTAGATTGAAGGATAGGATCAACATCATTTTACTGTACATACAATTATGATTCATAGTGGGAAGATCCAGCAGTAGAACACCTAAGACTATGTCTGGGCAAATCTGCTCTGCACTGACAATATGGCAAAGCAAGCATGATATGTGACCTGATAGGTTGAGATTTTTTTATCTGCCTTCTGTATAGTCAACAAGATAATACATCACAATTGAGGGAAACATAACAAAATAGACAGATACCTTCTAGATCCCAACAGAGTCATAAACTGGAAGTCCATACATTATGGACAGGGTGCCTGTTCTGTCAGATGCAAAAGGGTCTTCCCTTAACAGTGCACAGGTTGACTTGTAGGGTGCCCAAAGAACACATTTTACTAGTTCACAGAACAAATCAGAAAAATTCAACAAATACCTACTCTCTGCACATTAGTCGGATTCACTGTTAGTGCAAGTTAAGTCAAATCAATTTACTTCTATCAAGACCAGACTAAAGCCCGAATTGAATATGCCTCAATAGAGCTGGTTGTACAAAATCTGAGATTGTGGTTGCTAGTTCAAGAGTGCAAAGTGAAGAACTATGCTGCTTGTGACACAAAATGGTCTAAAAGAGGTAAACTTTTGAGTAATCCATGGACATGGGACAATCATTGCCTACTCTTAATACTTACAGTTACAACTTTTTCTTACAAAAATTATACAAAAATTCTTGCAATTATGGGAATGAGCAGACTGTGCCAGAAAACTAACATCCCTTGGAAAAAAAACAATCAATGTTGTTTGACGTTTTCATTTTACTACAATTATATTGTTCTGGATTAGGCTGATATATGGGTTGTCTGCCTGCTCTACTCCTCCTACTCCTATAGGTATATTAAATAAATAGGTTCCAATGATCCAAGCATGAGTGTTCATGGAGATACACTTTTTAAAAAATGTTGCTATAGAGAATCTTGTTATGATTATACAATGTACTAAGGTAAGTGAAGATAGAGAAAGAGAAGCATAGATAACAAGCTGATGGGCAAAAAAAAGGATAAATTATGTAGATATTAGGTTATACCAGAACAGGAAAGTATGATGGAAGACTGTAAGGCAGAATGGAGAGAAACAGAAAGAGTTAGAGGGCATTGAGATGATTTCAGAGTTTTGTCTTATGATGCATACATGATAGACAATTTCCTGTTATATCTATTTTCTATATACCATACTGTAAATGCCACTACAAAAAAAATGACATAATAATATAATATATATAATAAAAGTTTACACCGTGGATTCATTACGCTTGGCAAAAATAGTGTATACAGGTTTACATTTGGTATTGAATATTTAAATGGAAAATATAGCATTTTTTCTTTAGTTATATTTTTTTATTCTACAATAAACATGTAACAATTGGGGCATTCATGACACAGTTTTGCAGAGCACACAGGTATTTCTGATGGCCTACGTGCTTTTTGCTTGTCTTTGTGTAACTGATTAATCCGAATGATCCCATCTCTGCTAACACAGAGAAGTAAGAAGTTCCTCCTCTCAGACGTTCACCTATGTGTGTAATCTTTTGTTCACAATGTAGGGAATGCCTACACCCCACTACCTGCTGTCTGCTAAAGGTAAATATGAAATATTCATGTGCCATATATAATGGTTTAATGTTGCCCAAGAGATAAAAAATACCATTTATTTTTTTATCTTTCAATCTAATAAAGAAAGAAAACATACACAGTACAAAAACACTATACAATACACTATATCACACTGATCTCAAAAGAGAAACACATTCGTTTTTGGCTAACACGTTTACCAAGGATGTAAACATCTTTATAGCCTCATGAGAAAGTCTCCTGGTTAGCCATTTGTCCTGGAGAACTAGGTCCAAGTGCATTTTCATTCTTTATTAAAACAACCCTAACAAAGTATTTATTTATATAAAGCAAGCCAATTCAATACATCAATTTCCACTCATAAAGATGGCAAGACCCCAGTTAAATGGACCTAGCCATGAGCCTACTTTTTTATTTTAAAGTGACCCATATTTGATCACATGCTCATTTTTTGTCTTTGGTCTTTTATAGGCCTCTCTGCCACTAAAACCTAATCAATGCAAATGATTATGTTTTTTCCTTTATATGGTATTCTTTTTAAAAATCTCTTTATTCTTTATTGAAGCTTTCAGTTTGATCTCTATGTTCCAGCTTTCTTCCTCAGATTTCATATCCCAGTGTTCCTCCTATGTGCTTTGTTTTGATTTTTTTTTTTTTAAATAGTCAATATCAAATGTGAAGTAGCAGCTATGTGACCCTATTCAGTTACTATTCTTCTAAACTATGGGGTTGATGTACTAGAGGCAAATAGATTGCGTACTTTGTAAGTGCAGTTGCTCCAGAGCTTAGTGAAGTTGCACTTTATAAAGCATACTCAATCACATGCAAGGAAAATTTAAAAAAAAGACAGCAGTGGATGATGGAATTCAGCAGAGTTTTCCTTCATTTATTAAGCTGCAACTGCAGAGTGCACAGTCTGCCTTTAACACAGTAAATCATCCCGATGTCTATAAATTATATTCATCAGGCCAATATGTTACTTTCAAAAGGCCAAAACATTTCAAAACATTCTACTAGTCCCTCACGGCAAATTACAGCCAAACTTTGTGGACTCCTGACCACCATACCTATTATCATTATACCTATATAAGCAGGTTGGATATCACATTCCAAAACTGTGGACATTAGAGTGTATCTATAGCCCAAATCTTTCTTTTTAAGTTTTGGATAGAGTGGGGAAAGGTTTGAATGCCTGTCAGGTTTTACTGCTATCCAGGGATATCCACACTTTCTGTTCTGAAAACACAGAGGAAAACAGACAATACAAAGCTGACGGTGGTTTCAACATTCAATTCCATAAAGTGTCAAACCCAATTTCTTTTTTTGCCATTACAAGTACAGTGGGGATCGAACGTTTGGGCACCCCAGCTAAAAATTTGTATCATGCTTTGGGGTTGTGTTGCAGCCAGTGGCACAGGGAACATCTCACGAGTAGAAGGAAAAATGGATTCAATAAAATTTCAGCACATTTTGGACGGTAACTTGATGCCATCTGTGAAAAAGCTGAAGTTAAAGAGAGGATGGCTTCTACAAATGGATAATGATCCTAAACACACTCGAAATCCACGGGGGATTACATCAAGAGGCGTAAACTGAAGGTTTTGCCATGGCCTTCACAATCTCCTGACCTCAACATAATTGAAAATCTATGGATAGACCTTAAAAGAGCAGTGCGTGACAGACAGCCCAGAAATCTCAAAGAACTGGAAGACTTTTGTAAGGAAGAATGGGCAAAGATACCTCAAACAAGAATTGAAAGACTCTTGGCTGGCTAAAAAACAAGCTGTGAATTTGCCAAAGGGGGCAGTACAAGATATTAACTCTGCAGGGTGCCCAAACTTTTGCAGACGCCATTTTTTTGTTTTCTGTTATTTTGAAAGTGTAAATGATGGAAATAAAATCTAACTTTTGTTGACATATTATAAGAATGTCTAATCTGTAATTTGATGCCTTTTGGAGATTTTTCCATCTTTCCTTGGCTTCTTTATGCACATTAATACAAATTTTTAGCTGGGGTGCCCAAACTTTCGATCCCCATTGTAAGTGTTGTCTCTACCTATATGCAAAACCTTTCCAACATCCAAGATGTGATAGTTAGTAAATACCTGGCTCATCCTGCCATGTCAGTGGACATCACTATTGAGAGTGGCAACAAAAAAGCAGTCGATCCTAGTTGTCCTGTGTTGCCACTTTCAGTGTGCATGCGCTTTAATTTTGCTCTTAGGAAGCCTTTTACGTTCTAATCTCTTTTGGAAGCTGCCTCATGTGACTTTTTTCATCAGTTTGAGAGGTGGCTTCAGCAGGATCACCATCATCTCCTCCCTCTCCCCTGTTCTCCACCCCACTTGACAAACTGACTCTGATTGTGGAGTGGCTGTAGCAAGGATGCTCGACAGAATCATCTTCTCCCTGCTAGCTGATCCCTTACATGACATACCTATCAGAGGCTTGAGGGATGGCTCCCAGAGACTGATTGGCAGTAGCTCTTATACTGAGCTCCATGCTTTGTGCGGCCATGGGAAAACAAAGGTGTCCAGCAGTGAAGCCCACCTTTATTGCAATGCAGTGTGGGGCAAGATACTGAATGTCACGTAACTGTGACAATGTGATTAAAAATAAGGTATTTATATTTAGAATTATTATGAGATTTGTAGACAGTAGTTTAAAGTGTTACATTTCTTAATGATATACACAGACTTGTCGCATTGTGTTTACTGACACTTTAACTTAAGCATTTTTACTTCTGTCAGTGTTGCTGTTGGAGAACTTCCTATATGTTGAAAATGTTATCCCTGGGACAGTGAATACGTACAAATCTTTCTAACTGTGGTTTGGACAGCAGTAAAGCCTGACATGTTCTAACCCTTTCCAACTTTATCCAAATTTACAAAAACATTTGGTTATAGATACACTTCATTATGAAGTTGCCCCCCCCCCCCCCCCCCCTTCTGTGGCTATAACATGTTCCGCTCTTTTGGAAAGACTTTTCACAAGATCCAGCCACGGAATTTATTTGTGGAAATCTACTAAAACAGTATTTGAAAAATTAGGTACTGACAGTGCATGAGAAGACCTGGCTCACAAATGTTGATTCAAATTCATCCCAAAGTTATTGAGTAGTAGGTTAAGTTCTCTGCAGGCCACTTGAGTTCTCTCACACCAAACATGTCAAATTATGTTTAAGGATCTGGCTTTTCGCACCTGAATCAACAGTTTGGAGGGTTGCCCACATAAGTTTGTGAATGTAGTGTAGTTCTGTTTTTTTTTTTTTTTTGTTATTTGAAGTACCCTTAGATACAACACCAAAGTGTTCTTTGGGTAATGTTTTGAATATGCTGCGTAGCCCATTTGAGCTATCTATCTATCTATCTATCTATCTATCTATCTATCTATCTATCTATCTATCTACCTACCTATCTACCTACCTATCTACCTACCTACCTATCTACCTACCTACCTATCTACCTACCTATCTCAATCCATCTATTTATATATATATCCATCTATCTAGGAACTATGGGGTTGATTTCGAAAAACTGGAGAGTGCAAGACCTGGTGCAGTTCTGAATAGAAATTAATCAGCTGCCAGGTTTCCTTTTGTAAAAGTTTATTTGAACAAGCTGAAGTTAAAAGCTGATTAAATACCATGCAAAGCTGCACCAGATTTGCACTCTCCAGTTTTTTAGTAAATCAACCCCAATGTATATGAAATGATAATTTTGTTTAGAAATGCACCATTATAAAATTCCCATAGCAATGCCCTCCTGCCATACTGCCTTTGTCAGACTGTGTGGGAAATATCCATAATGCTGAATTGAAGGTATCATAGACACTGACTAATGCTCCAGCCATGATCCAGTTTAAAATAATCATAAACCTAATTTAAGTTCTTATTTCAACAACAAACTGGGCCTATAGTAACTAGCTACATTATTTTCCACTGAGGTAATTTATCCTAATATCCTAACAGGCATAGGAACCTACAACACAGAGAATAGTTCCTCAATTACAACTCTCAGAAATAAAATATTGTTTAGTGTGTAGCCATCTTTTACCCTCATTAAATCTCAAAGCTATGTACAAAAATACTATAGTTGATTTCACCTCTTTGCCCTCTGTGTTGATTGGCTGGGCTGGAGGGGCAACTGGCACGACAGCAGCACAACCTGTGCTCTTGTTGCGAGCATGGCCTTTGCGTAGTGCATTCTTCGAAGGGCTTTGTAACTGGGGGTGCAGTTCGCGGTTTGGGGAAGATGGAGTCGAAGTGATGACCAGTGTCTTCAGAGCAGAAACTTCAGCCTGCAGCATGTCAATCTGAAAGGGCAAAAGGAATAAACACAAAGGTGAATATATAAAGAAGCTTGAACCCCATCACTGTCTAACTAATGTAAAATTACCTTCCCATGGGCTTCTCTCAGTTGCTTTTCAGATGCAGCCTGCTTCATATTAGCTTCACGCACCATTTTATGAGCCTCCTGCCATGAAATGAAGAAATGAGAAAGGAAGCTTAACTCCCCTACTGACAGACAATGGAATTTCTCTCTAAAAATGCCTTTGGTTGTGGTCTCTGTTTACTGACTTTTTCAAATGGATCTCAGCTGAAAACACTGGCACAAATATATTGCACACAGTTTGGGATCAGATGGCAGGATGCTGAGGCCCAGAAACAAGGCCACTAGGACAGTAGAGGCCTACAATCTAGGCAGAAGCCCTAGGGCAGAACATGCTAAGAATCAGAACTTCTAAGTGTGCAGCAATGGCCGAGCTGATTATCCTACATGCAAATGTGCTTGTGATACCACTGCTCACCCAGCTGAAAATTTTCCAGTGAGTAGTGATAAAATTCTAGATCTATCCTGTCCCATACATCCAAAATGGTCCTGACTTATATAGATATAAAGTTGGGTAGCATTATAGAAAGCCTAACATGACCATATGATATAACAATATTACCTACTGGAACCAGAAAAACCAAAGACTCTCTGACCTTGTTTACAAAAGATACTGTGTGGATAAGGAAACCAGACTTGTACTCTACGAAGACAGTTAAAAGGAACTTCCTTTGACAGAAATAAAATCAAAAATCAAAAGAAAGTCAGTTTTAATAGGAAAGTATGTTACGACAACAGGGAGATCAGTTCTTGACCACTGACACTGTGGCAGCAACCTCAGAACACAAAAACTAGTCAGCTTTCTTGGTTCAGATTATGTCTTCATACATAATTGTCTGGAATTCTGAGGTAATGTGATGCATCTGTCAAGCAGGAAATAGAACACAGCAGATTTATAAGGCATGTGGTTTTATTCCAGTTACACTGAAAAGATTCAGCTGTGTTTACAGCTTTAAGGACACAACAGAGAAATTCTTTTTAAAATCATATGACTAGGTCATGTTGAAGGGCAGGCTATTCAAACGCAGCATGCGTTGAATGGCAGACACTGTATTTGACAAAACAGGGCTGTGCTTCGCCTGATTTGCTTGTAGTCCCATTGCATCTCAATAAGACATGCTGCATCCAAAGAAACACAATGCGAAGAAAAGCAGTTCAAACCCTGGCTCTTAACTGCCATGTGTACTGCTCAAGTTAGCGGGAAATTAAGTTCACAAAAGTCTAGAGTCCTAGCTCTACGTCTTGGCCAATGTGTCCCACAGTTCAGCTCCTGTCTGTTCCAAATTCAGAAAATGGTAAATTCTTTATTATTTCAAATCCAAGCAGGTACAGGCAATCCAGTATAGCAACAGACTGCTAAGGCGTTTCGACTAGAAAACCTTTAATTATAGGTCATTTGTGAATCACATATGGACTCCAGCGTGAACACTTTTCTCACTTGACGTGCATTCCAAATGAATATCATATGAAGGAAACCAATGCCCTTCAACATGAGCCCTTAGTTACCATAAAGACATAATCATACCTTTCATAGGCAAGCCATCATTGGGGCTGTATCATACTGATTTCTTTAGTGTAATGGTGAGGCCACAGCTAGATGACCCACTTGTAGAGCTTCAAATGTTTCCTGTACATAGCAGGGTATCCTCAAACATCAAATAACAAGGAAATATAGGAGCACAGCAGATTCTAATTTGTGCAAAGTCAGTAAACAAGTGCCCCGGCTTAAAATGTTCAGATTAAATTGACCTAAAATGCACACAAATCATTGTCATTCTCATTGCAAAGGCCTGTACAAACCCATTGGCATTGGGTATTTATGTCTCTGCAGTGCTCCTTCATCCTGTGACATGTACACATGGAATGGTCATGTCCAACTGAAGCTTGATGCATGCGCCCCATACAGCTGCTATTCTCTATGGCTGGGTCCTCTGTATGTTCAACACTTCACTGGTTGAAAGAGCACTACAGGGACATAAATATTTTGAACACATGACTGTTAGAACCAATTTTTTCTAGTCTACAATTGTCTTGTGTCACCATCCTCATCCACACAGCTCAAGGTGGCAACCAAGAATACTTCTAAATTACATCAAAAGTACTACAAAGTACATACCATATATAGACATTTACAGAATGTTAACCAGCTGCCAAAGATACAAATGGGTAGATGAAATGTTAAGCTTGTTGAGTTAACGAACCTCGAAAAGACTAGCCGTCAGCTCCTCTAGTTCCTGTTCCAGCTGCTCTCTGACCTTTGATAACCTCTCACACTCTTCATCTCTCAGCTTCAACTCCTATGGTGAGAACAGGAGATCCATGATAAGCATCTTGTAATATCTCTCTCATCAGAGACATTTTTGTTAGCCACACATCTGGTTGCATATAAAGAACTAATGTAGCACATAAAAAATATACTAGAAAGGAGGTACTGTCTTAGTGGGTTTTTTAACTATGATAATTATGGTATTTTGTACGGGTGATGTTAAAGAAGTTGTCTCTTGCTCCCTTAACCTACTAGCAATTACAGAATCCTGGCTTCAAGCAGCAGATTCTTCTTTTCCCCTAGCACTTTCCTATGGAGGCCTTCTCTGGACCCACTCACCCAGACCCAGTGGTCGGAAAGGTGGTGGAGTTGGTTTGCTTCTATCCCCACTGAGCACCTTTCAAGTCCTCCATAACTCTCCCTCTCTATCCTTCTCTTCTTTCGAAACACACTGCATTCAGCTGTTTTCTCCAATTTCTCTGAGGATTGCAGTGATCTATCGGCCTCCTGGACCGGTGTCTCGCTTTCTTGATGATTTCTCTGTCTGGCTACCCTACTTTCTCTCCTTGGAAATACTCACTATCATTCTCTGAGGTTTTAACATCCCCATTAATGAGAACAACCCGGCTACATCCCAACTCTTCAACTTAACCTCATCTTTTGCCTTAACACAATGGACACAGTCCTCCACTCACTCTGATGGGAATACATTAGACCTTGTTTTCTCCCATTGTTGCACTCCCTACAACCTCACAAACACCCCTTTCCTCTCTCTGATCACAATCTCATCACCTTCACAGTGTCCTCATCTTCAAACACATATCCCTCCAAGCAGTAAACAATTACCCTCAGAAACCTTCACAACTTTAACCCTTCTCTTTTCTACTCTGCAACTGACAGAATTCTATGACAGAATCTCTCCCCTGTCCTGCCCTGACCTGGCCACTGCTGTCTACAACAGTTTGCTTTCATCCACACTAGACTCACTTGCTCCTCTAACTACATGAAGTATCAGGCCCTGACAATTACAACCTTGGCAGACTGACGACACCAGAAATCTTAAGCGACATAGTCGTGCGCTGGAGCGATTGTGGCGTAAAATCAAATCTCACCAATCTTTCACCCTGTATAAATCTGCTTTCTTAACATACAATTCCTCCCTCCATGCTGCCAAACAAGCGTACTTTGTCACTCTCATCAATAGCTTGTCATCCAGTCCTCGTCGTCTCTTCTCTACTTTTAACTCTCTACTTCCTCCACCTCCACCCAGTACCTCACTCACTGCTTACAAGATTGCAAATCATTTCAAAAACAAGATTGATGCAATTCATAGGGGCATCTCCACTGCACAGACATCCATCCCACTTAGAATACCTTATACTTAACCTCCCTCAACACTTTCTTCTTTTGACCTTGCTACTACTGAAGAGGTCACTAAGGTTTTCTCAGAAGCCCATCTCACTACCTGCCCCCTGGATCCTGTCCCCTCACAACTACTATGGTCAACCTCTTCTTCTATCCTATGCTCCCTCACTCACATCTTCAATCTCTCCCTCTCTAATGGTGCCTTGCCCACCCCTCTAAAGTATGTACACATCACTCCCATACTTAAAAAGCCCTACCTGGACCCCACCAACCTGAACAACCTAAGACCCACCTCCCTGCTCCCGTTTACCTCTAAACTATTGGAACGCTTAGTATACAATTGCCTGAGCTCCTACCTCACTGACAACAACCTTCTTGACCCTTTACAGTCTGGCTTTCGCTCACTCCACTTCACTCCACTGAAACTGCCCTACTAAAACTCACTAATGATCTGCTAACTGCTAGAACCAATGGACACTACTCCATACTCTTACTACTTGATCTCTCTGCGGCTTTTGATACTGCTGACCATCCCCTCTTCCTCAAAAAACTCCACTCTCTTGGCCTCCGAGACTCTGCTCTCTCCTGGTTCTCCTCCTACCTATCGCAGCGCTCCTTCAGCATTATCTATAACTCTGGGTCCTCCTCTCCACTCCTCCTTTCTGTAGGGGTCCCTCAAGGTTCTGTCCTTGGACCCCTACTCTTCTCCATCTACACCACCTCCCTTGGTCACCTAATAAACTCACATGGCTTTAAGTACCATCTCTATGCTGATGACACACACATCTATCTTTTCTACACCTCACCTCACCCCTTCAGTCTCCTCTCGCATTACTAACCTACTAAGTGACATATTGACATGGATGTCACTCCACTTCCTCAAACTCAATCTTTCCTAACTGAGCTCTTAGTATTCCCTCCAGCCCGTGCCCCCTCCCTTGACTTCTCCATCAAGAGCAATAACACAACCATCAGTCCCTCCCCTCATGCCAGGGTGCTAGGTGTAACCCTAGACTCACATCTATCTTTTCAGCCCCAAATCCAATCACTGTCCAAATCTTGTAGACTTCACCTCTGCAACATTTCTAAGATACGCCCGTTCCTAACCTTGGAAACCACTAAGCAACTTATTCACTCCCTTGTTATATCTCGCCTTGACTATTGTAACTCCCTCCTCATTGGCCTACCTCATTGCAGGCTATCCCCTCTTCAGTCTATCATGAATGCTGCTGCCAGACTCATCCACCTTACTAACTGTTCCATATCTGCCTCCCCTCTCTGCCAATCCCTTCACTGGCTTCCCATTGCCCAACGGATAAAATGGAAAACATTAATAATAACATATAAAGTCATTTATAACTCTGCCCCAAATTACATCACCAATCTTGTCTCAAAATATCACCCAAACCGTTCTCTCCACTCCTCGCATGACCTCCTGCTCTCTAGCTCCCTTGCCTCCTCTTCCCATACTCATCGCCAGAACGTCTCCAGAGCTTCCCCATCCTCTGAAACTCTCTACACCAATTGATCAGACTATCGCCTACTCTGCTCACTTTTAGGCGATCTCTGAAAACCTATCTCTTCAGGGAAGTAGTAAGGGGTTCAGTGAGCGCTAACAAGAAACAGCAGCTGATACACTAAAAAGGGAAACCGTAAAACCTTCAAAATGACATAAATAAATAGTGCAGCGCTAGGAATGATATATATATATAGGCACAACTGCGATAATGTATATGAAATGGTACAGAAATGCTTCAATATTACCAATCGTATAGACAGAACAGTGTGTGAATATTGTTCTCAACAACAGTGCAGTGATACAGTACATATCAAACACCTTCACTAGTTGTATAAAATACAGTGCAAATGATAGTCCAACAAATATCTGATGGTGATGAAACCCTGGATAAACTGAGAAAAAGGTGACTTGATTAGATCCCAGTGACAGCTATAATCCAGTGCCGTGCAGGAATAATGAGTGAAGTGCACACTCACCAGAGGCGCAATTTGACTGCGCATTTGTGTCATATACACCAGAGGTCCCTTCGGTTATAGGTGGAATGTAGCCTGGAACAGATGACTCCGCGGTGGATGGTAACACATCTGGGGGTCCCCTTAATAGACCTGGCTATAGGCAGGATTTGCTGAATACAGCTCTCCTCTGGGCCCTGGGTTGCTGTCTGGGTGCATAAAATTGCACACCACAGAGGTTTATAATATAATAAAAATATAAAAATGCACCTGTTGCCCATAGCAGTTTATTAGATTTTAGCTATTTATTTCTAATACGGTTTGCAAAGTAGCTAGAATTTAAACTTTTCCCATTTATGATACATTTTTTAGTTTTAGCTGAACTATGTCTTTACACTGGGACTACAGTGCTAATGGTTTGGCCCCCAGCTATCCGAAAGAACACCTCATTCTTTATACACAGAAAAATATAAATAGCATAAAAATCAAGAAAACGACTTTTGGATTATGTGTATTCTGTAATTCGACACTTTAGAACGGTCTTCCCTTCAGTGCTCAAAAAGCACGATTTTACAATCTCACAATGTTAATTTTCAAAATCCATCTCAAAACATACATTCAGCCTAGTCCCCCATTGACTTCACATCTCTTCCATTTACAGTTGGTAATATGAAACTGTAAAAGTTTTCAAGCTCCCAAGTTCATTAGAGACTTTACTATATACATTTTTTTCGCTATGTATTGTTTTTCAGTGTAATAAAGAATCGGCTGCCATGGGTATTAGTTCAGAGGTTTTTGTTTGTAAAACTATTAATGCTCAGCTTGCCTTTAAGGTCACTCTTTTTCTGGGAGGAGGAAAAATGAGTTAGCAGAGAGGATCCTGCAAATGGAGCTGCCATAATATACTATACTTTTTCAGAAATATGTTGCGCTGAATATATAAACGTAAAAATCATACATAGTGCATAAATTAAGTGTCATATGAATTATGTCCATTAGAAAGCCATACTTAAATGTGGAAAATAAATCAAATAAGTTCATAAATCAATAAATCTCCCGTGATTAAGAGTCTTCTTAAATTAATGCAGTGAATAGTGTATCCACCACCATCAAACACAGCCCCTTACCAGAAACAAAGACCCCAGATAGGAGGTTTGCAAAGGCATGAAACTGTGTATATTCCAATACATATTTCACTCCAAAGATGTTCAGGTGCTACAATCTCCTCTCCTTGATCTTTATTGGCTCAAAATATGAAAGAGCATCTCCATAGTGAAGTTCTATTTAAATGCTTTATTAAAATTCCAAGATTCTACATACAAAATGCAGATAAACACTTGCATAGATGAACGCCGCTGCTCCAGCAGACGGGATGAAGTCAGCACGGATTCCTCCTTCCCAAGGTATGTTTCATCCAAATGGACGTTCTCAAGGGGAATAGTCGACAGACAGTGTTTGATGGTGGTGGATACACCATTCACTGGATTGATTTAAGAAGACACTTAATCATGGACAATTTTATTAATTTATGAACCTATTTGATTTATTTGTCACATTTAAGTATAGCTTTCTAATGGACTCAATTCATATGAGACCTAATTTAAGCACTACGTATGATTTTTAAGTTTATACAGTATATTCAGCGCAACATATTTCTGGAAAAGTTTGGACACATGGTTGGATGTTGTTGAGTGC